GGAGACTGTATGTTATGCCCAGATCATGGGGAGCCCCAAAAGACCACCACGGAGACTGAATCCCAAATACAAAAGCAAAGAGCCTTTTTTCTCTTCAAGCTCTGAGCTTGGTCTCTCTGTCTGTCCAACACAGAGGTGAGAGCAGAGAGCCCAGAGCTCAGGTGGGGTAGAGTTTTTATCAGCAGAGGTTGAGGTGAGGGGTATCCAAGGTTCAGGACCCTGATTGACTGACAATTGTCTGGTGGGTATCTATAAAACAAAAATAGGTGTGTGCTAGACTCAAGGACATCTAACCACCTTATCTAATGGTTGGAATGTTTGGGATGTCAGGTACTTCTTCATCCCTGGGTGGATCCATGGGTGGTATCAGCTTAAGACTTTTCCAGGATCTGAGTGTTCCTGCCAGTAAGTCTGCCACAGAAGCTGTGTCTAGGCCCCTGAGCCTGTCATGGGTGGTGTGTGGTCATGCTGTTTTGGGGCCCCTTTACATGTGGAAGGATGGAAAGTTGAAGTTCAAGAAGCACAAATAGTATAAATTCTCTCTGATCCCCTCACTAGTCCATTTCCTACCAACCTCTGCATCTCAGCTAACATCCTTGTGACACTCAGGAACAACCTCTGGAATATACTGTTGCATTTTCACACAGCCAGCTTCTGTCCCTAAAGCTAAGAATTTTAGAACTTCTGAAATCCATAGAAGAGATTTCTGGCCCCACTGCTATGGGCCACAACATATATATGAAGTAGGAATTCAGCAGATTATGACAAAGCTGTACCTGGAAGAGTTAAGGACTCTTCCAGAAGATAAAGCCAAGGCTCAAGGGAGTCTTGGTGATAATTTGCTTTTGAATATTGGCCTTTCCTGCTATGAATTTCTAGTGTGCTATTGTAGCTTCTCGATCATTCGTTGGGCACAATTTCACCTATAATTAAAGTATTTATATAACTTTCTCCAACTGTCCTAACAACAGACACAGTCAAAAACCCCCAATTTCTGGCCTTCCTGTAATTAATGTCCTTAGGAGCATCCAGCCAGGATCATTTTGGGACAGACAAAAGTATCTTATCTGAGATACCTTATAGACTCTCTAAGAACAGACTTAATCATTCAGACTATCCGTTTGAGAAGGCCTGGCAGATGTGCTAATTAAGCTTAACCTTCTTCCCCTTTCCAAAGTCTTATCTCTAGTTTTAGATCTACTT